TAACAGTTTTAGAAGTCAGAACATATTGAGGAATATAGAGGCTCTGAAATTAGAAAACTCTAGGTTTAAATCTTAGTAATCTATTTTCCAGCTGTGTCTCCTTGAGCAAGCTACTTAATTTTTCTGAGCTCAGTTTACTTAGTGGTAAATTTAAGATAATGATATGGTAGAACATGAATGAAAAATTCAAATGTATATTTAATCAATATATTTAGCTACAAAGTTTTCAAGTATCTATTTTCATAACTGGCTCTCTACAAATAATCCCAGTGATTTAATCTCTGAAGTTACATGTTCCATATGAACCCTATAATATATGCATATTAATATATGTATTCTACTTACTACCATTCAGAGTTACAGAAAAAAACATATATATTTATAAGCAATTTAGGGAATTTTTCAAATCAAATTCTTAGTCTGTGTAATATTTACTTTATTCATTGACTCTAGGCTCTTACCCTACATCTCATATAACTTCACTTTAGATTCTTTATAGAGACTTTTTGCAATTTAGCAAGGATTAAATGGGATAATATTTGTAGATGTGCCAAGCTTATAACACCTTCTCAAGGTCAGGTTTGTTTCTCTGCCACATTAAAAATAAAGAAACCAAGTTATCAACAAACACTTTCCTGGTTAACCCAGAATGTTCCTAAAATTTGACCTGTTATCATCTTTACATTCATGTTACTTTGTTATTTTAATTGAATGACACTTTACACCCACAAGCACATGTACACACCACAAAGCATCATCTCTTGAAATGACTGTACTGACTCTGTTACACTAAAATATCCTTTGTGCTTTGTGTTAAATGTGCCTTATGGGTTCCTCACGTAGCCAAGTTGCCTCATTAACTTCATTTCAATGTGCGAATGCCATGTAAGTGGGAATCTCATGTGGGAATTGAGTGCCAGTGCCAGATGAAGACACTGCTTACCTGTTGATCAGCAGCACATCCCAACAATGTTAGCTGGGTCAAATGTGCATCCCTGGGCTGAGTGTTGTCACCTGGGCTGAGTATGGTCCCTTGGGCTGAGTGTGGTTCCCTTACACATTCTGGGAGACTGGTGGAAATAGTCCTACTTCCTCTCACAGACACACATGCATCCTGAGAACAGCTGAAACCACCTCCAAATCTGACAGTAGACAAAGTCCCAGTTAATGTCAGCATGGCAAGTGAAGAATGGTGAAGTAATTAAAGCATGTTGACACCAGTGACATCATTATTGTTCCAAAAGGATTTTCAAACTGAGAATTGAGAAGACAAAGGAATTGTGACTTAGCATGTGTCCTACTGTTTCTCTGGGGGTGTCTCTCTTACTTTTTGCTTTATGTGTTTGCTGATTTATTTGGTTTGTGTTTGAGAGTTGTTTTGTTTGTCTTTGTCTTTGAGACAGCATCCTACTAAGTTGCTCAGACAGGCCTTAAACTTGCAGCCCTCCTGCTTTAGCCTTCTGAATAGCTAGGTTTATATAGGCTTGTGTCACTGGGCCCAGCATTCTCTTACTTTAAAGTTTCTTAACAACACTGTAGTAAACCCTCCAATTCTTCATATATTGTGTCAAATGCCAGGTCCATTATAAGAGCCCAAAGATATGAGCTGGTATCATTGTTGTGAATATCTAGTGTAGAGTTTTCTATACCTTAAATGTAACTAAGCATCTGTTCCAAGGAAGATGTGAGCTGTGGCTATTCCCAGTAGTCATAGGGAAGACCAGTTATCCCTTTCTAGCACTTAGTGCAGGGAATTCATGAGCAGAGCTCAGGCAGGGGAGCCCAGCCACAGTCTCTGTCCCAGTGTAATATTTGTGGTGTGCCTTCATTATCCTGTTAGATGTGGCTCCTCCAGCCACCTTACTACCTACAAGTCTGTTCCCAAGTTCATCTAAAAGCCCCAAATAAATGGCTTTTCTCTGCCAGTTTCTTTCCTAATCCCTGTCTGAAAAGTAGAGGGAGGAAAGGGCCTCAGATACTGCCAATCTGGACTTCAGGAAGGTTAAATAAGAAAGAACTTTCTGGGCCTAGAGACATGGCTCATTGGTTAACAGCACTGTTGCTCTTACAGAGGCCCTGGGTTCAATTCTCAGCACCCACATGGCAGCTAACAACCATCTGTAACTCCAGTTCAAGGGTGATCCAATCCTTTTCTGGCCTTTGTGGGCATTGTACAACATGGGTGCACTTACATATATACAGATAAAACACATACACATAAAATTTAAAAAAAAAATTTTTAATTCTAAAAAGAAAAAAACTTTCTGGCAAAGCTCTTCATTTAAGGACACGGATTGCCACTGGTAGATAGTGAATTAGGAACCACAGACAGAGCAAAGTTGAACTTCAGCCTTTTTCAACTTGGGGTTGCTCCCATTTCTAAGAAAGGGCCACAGGATCTTGGGTGGCAGAGAGTTCCAGGGCAACAGGGTCTGGCTGACCAGTGTTGCCCAGGCTCCATCAAAGGCCCAGCAGTCCAGTCAAATATCACATCAATGGTCCCTAATAACAAGAGCATGGTGTATGTTGGAGCAAAATGCAAACCTGAAGATCTCCCAAGGAGTAGTCCAACCATTTCATTTCACAAATAAGAAAAATAGCATTTGAATTTCTGTTAAATCAGACAGCTATTGTGCTATTTCAAAAAGAGAATTCTAAAATGAACATGCAATAGCTAGTAATAAGGATTTATGAGACCTTTCAGAGTGGCGGGGAGGACTTAAAGTTAAGGAAATTTTATCAGCTGCCTTGATTTTCCTTTGGAAAAAAATAGAAGAGTGCTATTTATTTGATTTTAGCAATAGAAATCTCATCTGGCTCTCAGAACACTGGAGCCAGGGGGAGCTTAATTCCTTCAAAAGTTAAGAAGAAGAAGAAATGCACACTGATAAAAGAATAGTGGCTCATCCTAAAATCAGACTCATTCGCATCTCCTGTCTTTAGAATGGAGTTGAGGTCAAATCCTTCAACAAGTTTGCAGTTCATCAGTCTTTCAAGCCAGCCTTCTTTTGACCTTCCTATTCACATCACTATCAAATGCTCCCAGACTAGCTCGCAACAGCCTCCAAGACCCATTTATAGAACTATTTTGTTTTTCTTCTTTTTCTTCCTCCTTGTCCATTCCCTTTCCTCTTCCTCCTCCTCATCTTCCTCCTCCTCCTCTTCTTCTTCTTGGTGTGTGTGTGTGTGTGTATGTGTGTGTGTGTGTGTGTGTGTATAATGTGCTTGTGTATGTGTATGTATGCCTATGCATGTCTGTGTGCATGTGTGTAGAGACCAGAATTCAATTCAGGTTCCTTCCTTTATTACTCTTCATCTTATTTTTTTGAAGTAGGGTCTCTTGCTAAACTGGGAACTCACTGATTTAGCTAGACTGTCTGGTCAGTAAGTCCCAAGGATCCCCCTGTTTCCACCTCCAAGTGCTGGGGTTACAGGCACACCTGTCTTTGTACATTGGTGCTGAGGATCAAGACTCAGGTCCTCACACTTGTGCAGCAAGCACTTTGCCCACTGAGCCATCTCCCCAGCCCCTATTTAGTATCTTATGTAACGTAGGAGTTTTGAACATAGTATGTGCTCCATAAAGATTTGTTGATTAAGTAGATGAAGCTTCACCATCATCCTTTCTTTTCCTCATCCTAGAAAATGAGATTAGAGGTTCTCCCTGCCTACCTGGCCTTCCACCAGTATCCTGCAGCCAGTGAGTGCTTCAGTGCCTAGATAAAATGCACATTTGCACATTTTCCTCATTTTTTTTGTTTATATATCCATTCAGTAACTACCATCTTCCCACACAGTACTGTTTTAGTTAACTCATCAAACAAAGGTTCTACATCCTAAGGAAGCCTCAACTGCCCAAACCACCTTTCAGGGACCCAACAGAGAGGCATCCAGAATTGCTGCTGTGTGGGGCCTCCTGCTGCCCTGTTGACCCATGCCCACCCAGGCCCTTCATCAGTCTCTGCTTGCTGTGCAGACACAAGACTACAGAGCATGGGGGGGTTTTAAGAGAGGCTGAAAAACTTGATCAGCTCATGAACAGTAGTTTACTTTGATAGGGGAGGAGGAAAGGGATGACAAAGCAAGTTTGGGAATTGGAAATAAGGGCCATCATGGTCAATGACCCTGAAATAGCTACCTGCCCTCTCCTCCCTCTTTCTTTCTTGCACACAGTTGCAATATTTTTAATGGAAAATAAATTCTTGCACATGATAAAACATTCATAAGGTATAATGAGATACATACAGATTTCTATGTCAGTCTCCCTCCTAACTCAGATTGCCATATCCCATCCCCTGAAGCAAATACTAATATTCTTGAAAGATAATGCTGTAAAAAGTACACTCATGTGTGTGTCTGGCTGGCTGACTGGCTGTCCATTTTTGCATATAGAGAAGCATACTATACCTACTTTTGACTTTAAAATTTTTTAAAATTTGTTTTTATTAAACTTTGTTGTTTCATACAGAATATCGCAAACAATCTGAATCATCTTTATAGCCCATCCCCACCAGTAGCCTCCCATAGCCCCACCACTGGAACCCATATACTTTGTCCTGGGTGTTAAGGCCCACTGTTTGACTGGTTTTTTTCTAAGTAGCTCTTTTATATAAATCAGCTTTCCAGTGCCCAAAGGAGGGGAGGGAGAGAGAAAGAGAGGGAGAGGGAGGGGGAGAGGGAAAGGGAGAGGGAGAGCATGAAAAATAAAATATTTCTTTCCATAATTTCAAAATTCCCTAAACACATTTCCTAAAAGTATTTTATTCTTTCCTGTTCTTAGATCAACTAAAGGAATTAAGCTTAAGACCAGTTTAACAGTCGTGTGTGTGTGTGTGTGTGTGTGTGTGAGAGAGAGAGAGAGAGAGAGAGAGAGAGAGAGAGAGAGAGGCTGTGTGTGGAGAGCACAAATGGAGAACACTCCGTTCACCAAGGCTGGCAGCAAGATGAATCTAGGGAAAGCAACCCTGCCCCCCTCTGGCCCCTTCTCACCAACAAAGCATGCTGACTCCTCCTCACCACAGGCGGCATTGAGATCAGGCCAGCCGGTGACAGCAGGAGAGCTGACTTCAGCTGATCATGCCAACATGACTCCCTAGAGGTTCAGAAGGCCCACCAGCTGCCATCCCATCCCTGTCTCCAACCTCATTGCCCTCAGAACAATAGAAAATGCCAGTTTGGTGACCACTACTAATAGCCCCATGAGCAATTTGTTAAGGGATGCTGACACTGGCTCTGATGAGATGAGATGAGTTTCATCCAATCCCCAGCAGAATGAGAGGATTTGGGAGCAGCCTGCAAGGATTCTGGGCAGCGCTGTCACTGAAATGCCTCGCTGGTCACTGAGCACACTCTCTCTTTTCACTTTAGTTTTCATCTATTTCCCCTTCCCTTCTTCGTAAATATCGTTTCCTATAAATTTCTATTCCAAGTGATACTTTCCCACTTAAGTTCAAAAAGCTCAGAGGTAAACAATAAACAATAATATGTCCACTAAGAACAACATTAATATTTGCCGTTTCTTCTTATTAATTTTCATGGCTACTAAACAAGAAATATTTTTATCCTTTTGTGGGTAACGAAACTGGGCACCCTCAGGTAACATACCAAGGTCATGTAGCTAATCAAATGGCAGGTCTCTGTCCTACAGCTGTCTGCTTACGACCCACCTCAGAAGAAGGGGACAAGGGTCCCCTGTGGCCACTGCCCTCTCCCTGCCATCTCACATGTGAGGCCACATCTTCCAAGGCCAGACCTAGGGTTGGAGAGCTCCCACCCCTTTATGAAAACTGTGCCAGATTTGCCAACCGTTATTGCTGAAAATGTGGGATATGGCATAAATGCACCCTGACCCAGAGGTGGAGGAAGGTAAAAAGTCAAAATTTCAGAAAGAAGATTGGTTTGAGGATCAGACTGGCTCAAAAAAGTATCTGAGCTTCAATCTGCTTATCTAGGAATAGAGACAGTAATGTACCCCACCCCATAATAATCAAGTAAGATAGTATGTATAAAGTCCTTGGCCTGTTGCCAGGTAAATATTAGCTTACTTCCATTTTTCTTTTCAAGGTGGGTCAAGTTTCATGTCTTAACCTGGATACTGGAGGAATATTAACATTGCTACCAAAGCCATAGAAACCCCCTAAGAGAAGTGACAGGGGTACTTCAAGCCATAAATCAAGGACAAGGACTCTTTCAAATTCACGTTCTCCTTACCAGCTCTCTTTCCATTTTGCCCAGTGCTGGAACTCCCTGAAAAAGCAAATGGCTGTCTTCTATTCCACCACCTCCTGCCCCACACCCTGGATTCACAAGAAGCTTACTCCCTTCATCACATCATAGCCATCCTTTTGTGCCTCTGTAACAACAGGCCCTTTCCTGGGGGTGGCATCCTCCTAGGAGTCTCTGCTCATCAGTCCTGTGTCCCTCCCTAGCTTTCCAGGCTGCCTTCCTTTGGGTGACACTGAATATGTTGCATGGAAGGGATCATCTCTGTCTAGCTAGATGGTTTGCTCCTTCAAGGGGAGACATCATGTCTTATTCATCTTTGCAGCCTTAGTCCAGAGCAGTGTCTGGCATATAATCATTGCTAAATTTTGTTGTGAAGCAAACTGTAAGAAACAGAGATAAATTAACCTCCTTTCTTCAGGGCACTGACAACATAGATACCTGAGACTGCATGTCCCCATTCCTACCTTCCACGGCATGTCATGTGGGCCCATGCTCAGTGCTCCCCACTAAGGTCCAACACTTGGCAAATCATGTTACTTTCTCCTCTTCTCTCACCCACAGGGGACCCCAGCATCTGCTCCATCTCCAACCCTGATTTTGTCATCTACTCTTCAGTGGTGTCCTTCTATGTTCCCTTTGGCGTAACTGTTCTCGTCTACGCCAGGATCTACATGGTGCTGAGACAAAGAAGACGGAAACGGATCCTCACTCGACAGAACAGCCAATGTATAAGCATCAGGCCTGGCTTGCCTCAGCAGGTAAGCCCCTGGAGGAAGAAAGAAGACATACCAGCCCCCAGTCTCTAGTCTTGTGTCCATCCACGCTGATGGACTTAACTGTACTTAAGAGACAGATCTGACTCTACCTTCCACTCTGCTGGTACTGTCAGTGCTTTAAATCTAATATTGAGAGTGTATTGAGTCTCCCTATACTTTATTTGGTCAAGATGATAGGACAGTTTCCAAATTGTTCTACTTCCCTTGAGAGCTTCTCACCAGCAGTTCAGATGTCCCACAAGGTTTGATGTTTTGTCTGATTCGATTGACATGGAGACAGGGGCAACATTTCAGTGTGGCAGTTGTACCATGCACTGCTTTCACAAACCATTCTTTTTGGTTCAAATCACTTATTCCAAGAATCATTGGGATCCACTAAAGCCACTAAAGACCAGCTAGTGGCATGGGTCTTTCTAGGCTCTGCAAAGGAAGGTTGGGGCTTTAGCACTGATCCTTCAACTCCTCAAGCTTTAGATTTTACTCACCTTACAACCTAGTGCATAGGGGTTTACCTACCATGGACTCAAAGCATGAATGGATGAATACCAACCACTTATAATCAGTTAGGAAAAGGAACATGAGAAGATTATTCAGCTGCTGCCTTCATGGAGCCTGGAATCTGTGCACAAAAATAAACCTCACTTCCACTGAAAGTCAATGAGCAACTCAGAATCAACTGGGGTGCTTGCCAAATGCTAAGTGAGAACAACCCTAATATGAAGTGCAACGAGAAGAGAAAGACCAGTACTCTCAGGAAAGGGCTTCCTAGAGAGAGGAAGAATTGAGTTTGATCTTGAAGGCAGAACCAATTTGAGTGTTTATACCAATGTCTGATGACCTGAGTAGGGGTCAGGCTCTCACTGCTGAAGTCCCAAAGCATAAGAAGAACAAGGTCCCCATGAAGTAGAAAACCTTGACCTAAGGCTTAGGCTATGAACAGACTGCATTCAAAATATCGTCATGCAACATAATTACATATGACGTGGTACAGTGATATAGTGCTTAGCCCACAACTGGCTGTTTCTCCTTCAATCTGCCCTAGTCTTCCTGTCTACGGCTGCACCCCATTCGGCAGTTTTCAATCAGGGCCAGATTTTCATCAGACGCCACAGGACAAATGGTAAGTAAGCCATGCCTTGGATTATAGGAAAAATTGAATAAGAGACCTTTTCCTAAGGTGCTAACTTGTCTTGATTTCACTCCCACCCCAAAGTGGAATTTTGCACTGACCCCACACATGTATTTGTAATAATCGCAAGATCCCACAGTCTGCATGACGGGCTGCATCAAATGATATTCAGGAATCATGGGACTACTGGGCTAGATACCAATGGCTTGCACCAATGACTTTTAAATATGGTGTGAGGATGTCATCCAGAGCCACCTGCAACAGAGGGAACAGAATGTCAATGAAATAAACATGGAAAGAACCAGAAAAATCAGAGAAAGAAGACTTTCAAGTGTCCTGTTTGCCATTGAATATGTACAAAACCAAAACAAGCTCATGGTTACCCTAAGCCTTGCCTTTCCAATTCAAGTCAGCCCTGGCACCCCTGGCTAGCAAAGTACAGGAAAGAATATAGAGACGCCAGATGTAAGACCATCATTCTTCTCCTTGAACTCCACATTAGGAATTAAACTTCAATAATAATGAGCTGAGTCTTGTCCAATCTCTCTGTAATTAATTAACCACTTTTTACACCTAATGGCATAGCAATTAGAGACTCTTGCTGTAAATGATAGCAGATAGATAAGCAGTTTAAAATCACCATAACAGATCCAAGGTCTGAGGAGGAACCGTGGCCAAAGGAAAAGTATTTACTACAACAGGAGGGCTTGGAGAGCCCAAGAGTGTGGAGAGTTAGGATCTGTCCTGCCATCTGGGAGTGGAGGTCTGCCAGCCAGCCATACAGGAATAAGTGTTTCTCACATCAGTCATGGAGGAAGCGATAAGGATTTGCAGAACAAGCCTAAAAACACCCTCATAGCATGGAATCTTAGAAGAATCGCTTTCCTCCTGTGAGACTCCATTGGTGAAATGGAAACAGCATTTTTCAACTTCATATTTGTTCTCAAGAACTTATCCCCAAGCTCTTAGTTTCAGGAATAATATATTAGAAATTAAATATTGTCATTTTCAGATTGACCGACTTAATCACAAATATGATCTTGATTATAAATTGCCATAATATGCTGGGGCTAGAGAGATAGCTCATTAGTTAAGAGCACATACCACTCCTGCAGAGGACCCATGTTGGGTTCCCACCCCACATCAGGTGGCTCACAACCTCCTATAAGCTTCAGGGGATCCAATGCCCTCTTCTGGCCTCCATGGACCAGACACATACACAGAAACACACATATAGGCATAGTTTAAATTTTTTCAATATTTTAAAGCATAACATATTTATATTATTTATTAGGAAGTCAAATTTTAAAACCCAAGAATTTTTCAAAATCTATTCTCCTAGAATCCCTTTCTGCAGATCAGTTTTTAAACATTACATCGTCTCAGAGAAACTTAACTCCCATCATCCCTTCAATAGTGTATACAAGTGTGCCAGTATTGTGTATCTGGAAAACTGTGTTCCTTGATTGAAGGAGCCAGAAACAAAAGGTTTGAGTGCTGCATTAATACATAGGAAGGAGTTTACTGGAAAGCTTCCCAGGTAGCTCCCAGCTCAACAAGAATCCTAAAGAACGACTCCAGAAGATGTTTATAACTCAAGAGTAATTGGTAAGACAATGGACATTGAACACCACCACTGGTAGATATAGTCTGAAGTGACTCTCCCCTTGTCTAGGCCTGCCTGGGGGATAGGAGAGAGGAAAGCTATGGAGTGAACAGCTGGCTTTCGTGGCTTCGGTGGTGGGCGTTGGGGAATCCCGACTCCTACTGAAGGATGACATGTATCTGATCCTTCAAACATGGGAGGTTCAAATGTTGGACACAAACATATCAACTTTCTTCCCCTGGAAAAATATCAAAAAAAAAAAAAATCAGGTTCCATTTTTCCCAATTTGTTTTCTATCTTATAAACAAAGTTTAGAGACAGTAAATTAACCTACTGAAGGATTATATACTAAGTAAGAAAGGTGTGATACAAATCTTGGGTTTTTTTCTTTTCTCTTTTTTGAATGATTATATTTGAAATTTCAAAACTAAAAAAAAAATGGTACGTGCCTATAATCCCAGTATTTGGGAGGTAGAGGGAAAAGAGAAATGTCATGGTAAGTTCAAGAACAGCCTTCTGGGCTACATGACACTCAATCTTAAAGCAAAGAAAATTAAATTTAAAAAGATTAAAAAGTAAAAAGACAAATATAGCAAATTCTGAGGCACCATTCACTAACTTCAGAAGTTATCAATTTGTGACCAGTCTCATTTTATCTATGTTCCTGCCTATATGTCCCCCCAACACACACACTTAAGAACCAGATCCCAAGCATCTAAGACCCAAACTTTGTACCTCATAAATGTTAATGTAACAATAACTTATTTGGTTAAGAAATTGAATCATTTATCTTATAAAGTGTCCCACATTTCAAGTTTTGCTGCCTATATCCCCATGATGGCACTTACCATGTTCATCCCTATAGCAAGGTCTTTCTTGCTCAGAGAGGCCAGAGTACAGTACTAGGCTGCCCTCCTCAAGGGCTGCTGTGATGATAATGGAATATTTTGTGTGGTAGATGCTCTGAGGTTGTAAAATTGGAAGATTTCATTTCCCATAACGTCCCATGGTCTGCCCACTCCCTCAGACAGCTCCCTCTGTAGGTAGCACACAATGATGGTCTTCCTTTTCATTATCTTTCCCTTTCAGGAGCATATAGATGATAAACAGTATCCCCAGAAATGCCAGGACCCTCTTTTGTCACACCCAAACCCCCTGTCTCCTGGTCAGACACATGGGGAGCTGAAGCACTACTACAGCATCTGCCAAGACTCTGCCTTGAGGCAACCAAGCTTCCAAGAAGAAGGAGGAGGAGGGTTGAATGGGGCAGGGAGGACTCAGAACTCCCTGAGTCCCACCATGGCACCCAAACTCAGCTTAGAGGTTCGGAAGCTCAGCAATGGCAGATTATCAACTTCCCTGAAGCTGGGGCCCCTACAGCCTCGCGGAGTGCCACTTCGAGAGAAGAAGGCTACACAGATGGTGGTCATTGTGCTTGGTAAGTCTGAGTTGGTGTAATCAGGGTTGGATTAGGTGGTTAGTTGGAGCTGGTAATGGGTGCTATCATAGCCACATTTGAAAGGAATTGTAAATTCAATGAGCAAAATATTTGTAAAATGTTTATAATAAAATTGAAAAGGGTTTCTGTATAAATATCAACACCGGTGGAAATTCAAAGACCTAGATGAAATTTATGAAGCCACCTAATTGAGCTGTATTTTGTTGCCTATCCTATGAGATTATAATACTTAGATCAAACGATAATGATTCAAGAAAGGTATCTGGCATGTATTGGATATTTAATAAGTGCTTATTTATTTTAAAAGATTAAGTAAAAAAATAGGAATCTAAAACACTACAGACATATGGCATGATAATACTTAGATTATTTTTATACTTATTTTATTATTTTTATTTTATGTGTATGAATATATTGTCTGCATGTAAGTACACCCATGTCATGTAGTATGCTCAGAGGTCAGAAGAGGATGTCAAATGGATCCCTTCGAGCTGGAGTTATGGATGTTAGCCATCATGTGGGTGCTGGGATTTGAACCTCAGTCCTCTGCAAGAGCAGCCAGTGCTCTTAAACACTGAGCCATCTCTCCAGCTCCATATCTAGATTATTGTAAATATTGAGAAAAAAAAACTAAAAAGAAATTCAGCAAGATGTCAAAAGTAATTGTCTTTGAGTAGAGAGTAGTTATTTTTCTCTTTCTCGTTTTCTGTATTTACCAAGTTTTCCATTATGTATGTGGCCAATTTTAAATTTCATAGTTGAAAATATAAATTTTATTTTAATTAATTAATTAAAATTTGGTAAATTCTAGATGCCACATATTGCTAATGAAGGTAATAATTCATTGTGGTCAGTGTCACTGACAAACCCTGGACATTTTCATGTGCAATTCTTAGCACAGGAATTGTTTTTGTCCTCATCAAAGCTGAGGATCATGTCCTGCATAAGTACATATCTGAACTGAATTGAGAAAGAGAAAAGATTGGCAAAGAAATTCCTAAAAGCCAAGCTAGAAAGCTGTTTTAATAAGAAAGGGTTGAAGTAAATGAAAGACATTAACACAGTTTTCTCCTCAAAGAACAGATGTGATTAATCACACCTTCTTTGTAGGGTTGTTGTAAAAGCTAAATGGGCGATACCAACAGAATGAAAAAAAAAAAAAAAGACAAATAAGTAAAAAGTAAACAATCCATAAAGCTGCCAGCATAGTGGCTGGCATAAAGATAAGTAACTTGTAAGCCGATTTCATGTTATAAGGAACGCAGTGAGCAAACTCCTTACCAGGTTTTTCTGTTTCTTTACAACCTAGGGGCCTTCATTGTCTGCTGGCTGCCCTTCTTCTTGACTCATGTTCTTAATACCCACTGCCAGGCATGCCATGTGTCCCCAGAGCTTTATAGAGCCACAACATGGCTCGGCTATGTCAACAGTGCCCTCAACCCTGTGATCTATACCACCTTCAATGTTGAGTTCCGGAAAGCCTTCCTCAAGATTCTGTCTTGCTGAAGGAGAGGAGGATGTGTGCCCACTTTACCCACTTCAAGACACCAGGCAGTTTGGTCCCCTGGCTCCAGGACCTGCTCTGAATGACTGCACTGTCTTCTAGCATGTGGTACAAAGAAGATTTGTGGAGCAATGACCCTGGTTAGGTATAACCAGCTGCTTACTCCACAGTAGAAGGTTCTACCTCCCCAGCTTACATCTGACTTCATTCTGCCAGTCCTCAAATCGCTAAGAGATAAGCAATAATTCAAAAGGAAGTTGATAAAATTTATGTTATACACAAACAGAAATTGTCAGTGCGCTGTGGTAAAAGAAAAATGAGCAGGTCTTGAAACCAAGGCCAGCAACCGATCTTATGGAACAGCCAGCCACTCTTCCTTCAAACCTCCCAGTTACTTAAATGTTAGCACAGCTAACCTTGTGCATTCGAAGGTCCACTCCCTCTCAGTTGCTCCGCCCCTCACTCTATCCTGAAATACGAAAGACAAGGCCAATGTTTCTACCTTTCTGTAGAATGAAATTGGCTGTATTTTGTGAGGGGAATTCTCACTTCAAAGGAGACATTGTCCCATAGTGGGACTGAGGCTTTGTTTCTACCTGGCGGCCCTTGTATGTTAGCTCTGGCTAAGGGAGCCCTTTGATTCCCTGACTTTCTCAAGGCAATTCTGGTGTCTCCATTTCTAAAATCATTCAAGACTAAGTGGAAAAGGAATGGCAATTCCCAGTGTAGTATCACCACTGAACTTTGTGGTTTGGAGCACGCTCTCAATAACATTAGACCGTTCACCTAACCGGGGCACTTCTGTCTGCTTAACAGAAACCCAAAACTTTCAGACTCTGAGACTTACCAGTGTTTGGAAAGTGCCAGTCACCTCCCAGGTTCTGAATTAAAAACAATGACTGAGGCAGCTGCTGTCCTCAAGGACCTCACTCTCTGCTTGCCCCTATGTTTGTCCATTTACTAATTGGTCCAAGGGTGGTGGTGACTCACCTAGACTTTCAGAGGACCTCAGAACGAGGGTAATGGGAAGAAGGCTGTTCTGAGCCACCTCATGGAGCTAATATTTTAAAATCCTAGTGCAGATCCTAAGCATCACCAATCCAACAACTCAAAAGCATGGTATTCAAAAGCTGGGTTTAGTGACTAAAAGAAACCAGAATAATGTGTAGATGTCATTTAAAATTGCATTTAGAAGGAGCTAGAATACTCAGCTCATTTACCTTCTCACCTACAGAAGCTATTTTTTTTATTGCTTGTAGAATCAAGATAAAATTTGTGGATAATTTATGAGTTATTAGTATGTTGCATGACAGATAGCTACTGCTGTGCTGTTAAAACTTTAAAGAACCTAAGAACTTTACAACTAATCCAAGGCTTCCCCCATTTTTATTCCTTGAACCCTTAAGTTTATAACAAGAAAATATATACATATTCCTAGTGAATTAGTTGCCTGTTAGTCCTGGATGCTATAATTCCAGCCTTTAAACATGTTATTATCTAGGTAGGGCCTGGTGGTACATGCCTCTACTCTCAGCACTGGGGAGGCAGAGGCAGGTAGATCTCTGTGAGTTCTAGGTAAGCCTGGTCTACATAGGGAGTTCCAGGCCAACCAAGGCTATGTGGTAAGATTCTGTTTCAGAAAAACAAAATTAATGTTATTGTCTATAATTGATATTGTAGCTCAGTGTAAAAATCTTCTCTGTCCACTGCCTCTTATACTTTGTGCCATTTCGCTCCATAGGTTTATGCTACAAGCAAAGTTGAGTCCTGAGACTATTAAAATCCTCAAAAGTAAAGATTTATGATTCCTAGATTTTTCCATTAAAAAATACATAAAATCAGATGAGCCACTGGGGTAAAATAATAGAATTCCATGTCAAAAATCAGAATTCTGAAAGCAAAAATATAAACATCAATATCTTTATGATAGCAAAAATTTGTATCTTCGTATCAAGTATTCAGCCTTTATAATAACTTTAGGTAAGATGAATTTATTTTATTTAGAGAAAAACAGGACAGAGGCAGATTAAGACACTTGCCTGCAAGTCACACACTGTCAATAGTGGCAGAAGAGTCAAATGTACATCCATCTGATTCCCATGCTGTACAATTGACCACCATGGCACACAACTTCTCTCCAGAGAGTGGAGGGGAGTGAGAAGAAAAAGATAAAAGGGAGATCCTAGGATGAGTCTGCTTCTGCCCCATCTACCTGCACCTAACTTCCTTGAACCCAGCTTAAGTCATTGGCCTCACTCTTCTGCCATGTTCAGTTCTAAAACAGTAGCATGGGAAATCCACAATCTCTAAGAAGCATTTGGTTCTGCTTTCTCCTTCATTTACATAAAAGGGAACTAAGGTCTAGAACTGCACTCCCACATACACACCACCTCCACCCCCTGTTGGTTAATAGTCACTCAGATATGCTGAATCCCAGTTCATTGTTCATGCTACTTTGCCACATTCCTCCAAGGACTTGTAAAAACTTGTAAACTCCACATAGATATAAGGTAAAAGTTACACTGTCATTTCCACCATTAAACTGAAAAACACTTATTGCCTCAACAGTGTCTACTAGTCTGTGCAACAACTGCTTCCCAGAATTTTCTTCTGGTCCAGGAAGACCTTCCCAGAGAAATGCCTCCAAAGCCCTCACTTCAGCATCTTCATCCTGAGACGCTTCATTTCACCTCTTCTACCTCTACAGATCCCACCATGAACCAGCTCACTACTTTCAGTGCCAACATGACCAAAAATCTCAGAAGAGGTGTTGGCCTGAATGAAGCAGGGCAGAGTTCTTGGAGAAGACTCTTCCAGAACCCAAAGAAATTTCATACTTTCCCACACTATTTGGGTACAATGTAGATAGTATGGAAATCCAAATATCTTCCAAGAATATCCAACTTGGAACCATAAACAAGCATTTTCTTTTTCTAGAACACAATCCTGTGATGTTCCATTCATCACTCATATTCTAAATCAATCATTTGTTCAATAAATATTGGTTGTCCACCTTTTATGTGCCAGGCATTTGACTGGGTGGAAAGAAATACCATCTAGGAACACATAGTCCTTGCCCCATCCACTGCAAGGAGCTTATAATCTAGAAGTGCTGACCTGTTTGTTATCTATAAAGAGGATCTATGATGCTTAGAAACCCCATGGTCAGCTTTGAGAAGAATACTGTCAGCCTAGTTGACATAGTTTTAAAATGTGGGGAAGGAGCCAGACGTGGTGGCACATGCCTTTAATCTCAGCATTCCTTAGGCAAAGGCAGGAATCCCAGGTCAGCTGGGACTACAGGGAGACTCTGTCTCAAAAAGACCAAATAATAATAATAATAATAATAATTATTATTATTATTATTATTATTATTAATGTGGGAAAGGGGTGCTGGAGAGATTACTCAGTGGTTAAGAGCACTGGCTGCTCTTGCAGAGGACCCATGTTCAGTTCCCAGCACCACATGGGAGCTAACAAAAGTCTGTAGCTCCAGTTCAAGGAGATATGATACCATGGCATTGCACACATGGGTGCACCTACATACACGCAGGCAAAACATTCATGCACATAAAACAAAAGTAAATAAAAATAAGTAAATAAATAAATAACAAAAATTTTAAATATGGGAAAGTTATTTCAGACACAGTAGTCCTCTGAAGAGCTAGTGGTAAGAACAAGTGAGGACCGTGGAGGGAACTGCAAATAATTGCATCTGAATATACAGAAGAAGCTGTGTGGGATGGGAAAGGAAGGGGCTTCATTCCTCAAGATTTCCTGTAGCTCTGCTCAGAAGGCAGCTGAGCTGATAGTGCCACTTGTCACATAGAACCTCTAGATTTTGCACCCCACACACCCTGTGAACTATACACACTGCAAAGCATCCACCACTGATTATATAACCACTTCTTTCTGCACTACCCTGGGTTTCAACAAATACAATCTTTAATTTGAATCCTTTTATCTTTTCTCTGAACAAGAGAGAATGACTAGTTGAATGAACCTGACATCAGAAATGGTTAACATTGGGCAGTTCAGAGACTTTAGATCAGAAATCAAGGGAGGACAGGCAAAGAGATTTGTTTTTGTGAATGCTTGGGTCAGAAACACACAGAGAGGCAGAAGGGTTAAGAGAGTCTCTTACAAATGGTTATTTCCTGGAGATCCTAGCTCCCAGGTCTGTGTTTCTCATTTCATATCTGCTGACATGAGAAGACTAGAAAAGCTTAATTTGAATCAATACACAGAGAGCAGAGAAGGAATGACAGGCAATTAACTTGATTCCTCCATTCTACCTAATTGTCTCCTCATCAGCTGAGGAAGCGAGTGAGTTGCCATGACTACCTCCTGACACAAAGATTCTATGCAGGTGATGCCCCTGTCAGCTCTGCTCTGTAGCACATGTTGACAGAGGCAGAACCTGAGAATCCAGTCCAAGCCCGAGACCCAGGACCACTTGCTCTACCACTCTCACCTCAATTAATCACCTGTCTCCATCATTGTGCAATGACTTCTTGCTTTGTGTAGAAGCTGGGTCCTGGGAGGAAAGTCTATAGACCTCTGAGGAAGACTGTGCCCCCCAGGTAGAGGCAGGAATGACCCCAAGTTGGCTCTAACTGCCTTATAGGAAAGACAGAGGTCACACATGTGTCAAAGGCAGAAGTTCTAGTGCTAGTGTGGACAAGTGACCTTAGGCAAGTGGCTTAACCTCTCTGAGCTTTAATTTACTCATGAGAAAAATGAGGACCTGAAGTCCTGGTTTTCCTTATTAGACCATTTGAAGATTAGATAAAATCACAAATTAGGGGCTGGAGAGATGGCTCAGTGGTTAAGAGCACTGACTGCTCTTGCAGAGGACCTGGGTTCGATTCCCAGCACCCACATGGTGGCTACGAACGGTCCTTACTCCAGTTCCAGGGGAATCCGAAACCCTCTTCTGATCTCCACAGCTTTGCACAACATGAGTTCACTCACATACATGCAGGCAATACACTCATACGCAAAAAATAAAAATAATAAAGAAAAACTTTTTTAAAAAAATCACAAATTAGTAGCTGTCTTTGTCTGTTCCCATTGCTGTAATAAAAGACTATAGACTGG